ACAGCACACTCACACCTACATTCCTATTAAACTACGGGAATCACACACCGCTATCGCACACTCAGCCACCACACACTCACATTTATATTCCACTCAGGAATCACACTCAGCCACCGCAAACCCACATTCATATTGCACTCAGGGATAACACACCACTATCACGCACAGCACGCTCAGCCACCACACATCCACATTCATATTACACTGCAGAATCTCACACAGCCCCCCAAAACACATACCTAGCCTAACAGTTATAACGGGAAAAGCAATCCATAAAAAACTGACAATGGTCATACATCTAAGGCAAAGTATTGACATTTTGTGCTGTTTTGTTAGGTATTCCACCTGCTGTGAACTTACATTTTCCTTTAAATAAATTATTTATTGGAGCTGTGAACTGTGATAGACTAACTGTGCACATTACTATAAGTTGTATTGCGGCAGTGCCTAAGCTGCTTGTTGTACGGTGTAAGTATTAATACAATGAGGCCAGTGATATAATCACACGAACCAGGCATTACTGTGGAGCTCTTGTAAAGCATTCACACACACTGCACATTAGTGTGAGTTTTAGTGCGGCTGAGCTCTGTGATACACTCACACATTGCACACTGCTGTGAGTTTTAGTGCGGCTGAGCTCTGTGATACACTCACACTGCACACTGCTGTGAGTTTTAGTGCGGCTGAGCTCTGTGACACACTCACACAATGCACAGTAATGTGAGTTTTAGTGCGGCTGAGCTCTGTGATACTGTGAGTTTTAGTGCATATCTATGGGTTGGCAAAGCCGTGCAAAAATCAGTTGTTAGCAGGATCGGCCCTTGTATGGTTACTATCTGATGGGGCCATGGTCCCAGACAGTACTTTGACAGGGGCTGCTAGAGGGAAAGATAAGACTCATGAGCAGGGCTGGCATGGGGGAATTACACTGGTACTCTCTGTACCTGCTTCATGACCTATACAAGGCACAGCTTTGTCAGACACACAAAAGGTAATCCAGCTGTTGTCACACATTTAGCCTTTCTGTCGGCGGCAGCAACAGGGGATAATTTAGTAAAAACATTTAGCAAATACTTTTTCGCGGGTAGTGATTATTAATTATCCAAAGCACTGTTCTTTTTTAATATACTAACTGTATTGACAACAAAAAGGAAAATGTTGTAAAATGCCTTTTGAAAATGCAGAAAAAGTTCTGTATTCTTCCATGCATGAAGAGACCCTTTTAATGCATCAAAAATGGGCAAATATAAGATAAATACCTTTTAACTTAAGAACCCCCCTTTACTAGGAATAAAGATGTGCCACAGATAGTGATATATGGTATCTGATTTATTCCAATACATAATTTATTCCTTTTTTTTTTTTTTTTTCCAATAGATAAATAATTTTCCAGCAGCAATTTCACTCATTTGATAAAATGTGTGTTCGTTTTGTGAATAGGGCTGTGCATAGTCGCAGCCAAGTTCTCTTAGAGAGGCAGAAAATACAGATTCCTACTTTGACATTAGGGGCACAAGGGACAGATCTATAGCTGTGGATGTTTTTTACGTACTGTCTTTTCACACATGGCTATGTCTTTGGCTATGTGTGGGTCTGTGAGTGAGTGTGTCTGCATGCCTGATAGTGTATTTCTGTGTTTGTGTGACTCTGTGTGCCTATTTGTGTATATTTATGAGTGTGTGTATGTATTATTGTGAGTGTAGGGGGGCACCAATACAACTCCTCGCCAAGGGTGCTAGAGACCTAACCCCTCTGCTAGTGCGCTGTCTTTAACCCCTTAAGGACACATGACGGAAATATTCCATCATGATTCCCTTTAATTTCAGAAGTTGTGTCCTTAAGGGATTAAGGGGAATTAGAGATCTCAACTCAATAACAATGTCTTCCTTCCGTCCAGATGAACAACATCTAGTAAGCTAAACATCTTCTAGAATTCAAGTGTTACCTCTAAGGTATAAACTGAAACCCTTATTAGATTGTGGACTTGACCTCTTTATGATTGCTAGAGTAATATCATCTGTATATAATAAGCCCAGGTATGACGTTTTTTGCTTTATTATTGTTCAAGATTTCACATCGTGAGTACATCTTAATAGCTCAAGGTTTTTTTTTCCTGTCTGAATCATTCTTAAGGAATGTTCTCTTATTTTTAATAATGTATTGCACCTGAGTATACTTGTTTTTTTTTTATATAGATGGTTTTGTTTTTCTTAGTTGTCTCCTCTGTTTTTACATTTTCCATAAACCAGTATGATTTACTTTGTTTTGGAACTACAAGAGGTCTTTGGTAATGATATACTGCAGAGACATGACTGCATCAATACGTCAATGATTGTGTATTTTTTCAATAAGCTTTGTATGGGTGGTTCCGTGTTTAGTAGAATGCTGATACGCCAGCTTTGTTACATACTTCACCTATAATTGTTCCATCAATAATAGACATGTTTTGGATGAGCCTCAGTTTGTATGTATAGATGATATTTATAGTAACTATTGAAGCCTGCATGTATTATACAAACTATGTTGTATACACCTGATTTTATCAATTTATTTTTCTTTGTTACCATTGTTTAGCAAATATTTCTAATATTGTGGGCATTTATTGCCAAGGTAACTGTTTGCACATGGATAACACAGTTTTATTTGTGCCCTAGGTGCATTTTAAAGAAAAACTCTTAAACATCACAATCACTACAGCTCCATATTGTACACAGTATTGGAGACCGTATCTCCAGAAGGATATTAATACTTTGGAGAGCATTCTGAGAAGGGCTACTAAACTGGTTCATGGATTGCAGGATAAAACTTACAAGGAAAGGTTAAAGGAACTTAACATGTATAGCTTGGAGGAAAGACGCGATAGGGGGTATATGATAGAAACATTTAAATGCATAAAGGGAAACAACACAGTAAAGGAAGAGACCATATTTAAAAGAAGGGAAAACTACCACAACAAGAGGACATAGTCTTACATTAGAGGGGCAAAGGGTTAAATATATCAGGAAGTATTACTTTACTGAGAGGGTAGTGGATGCATGGAATAGCCTTCCAGCTGAAGTGGTAGAGGTTAATACAGTGAGGGAGTTTAAGCATGCGTGGGATAGGCATAAGTTTATCCTAGCTATAAGATAAGGTCAGGGAATAATGAAAGTATTGAGAAAATTGGGCAGACTAGATGGGCCGAATGGTTCTTCTCTTCCGTCACAGTCTATGTTTCTATGCTTCTATTGTAGTTATGATTTCAGGAGTGCCCTTGCACCCTCTAAGATTGTGTGGTCAAACTATTAAAGATCAGTTAAACAAAATACCTGGGTCCCGCCACTGTATTCCCTGCTGTGAAAGCTCTGCCAATGAGTGTGGCCTTGCAAACTAGGACTTCGTTCAGCTGAACCTACTGGGAGCTTCTGCAAGGAGCTTCCGGTAGCAAGGGAGGTAGAGGCGAGTGCCTAATCCAGGTATACTGGATCCTGTCCTTCATGTTCTGTTTTTGGTCGAAGCCCAGGGGGCCAGCGAACGAAACATATGCATTCTGGCACGCCGCATCCAGCACTCCCCGACAACTCTGCCCTCTCATTCGCCGGATCCGACGCTGCTGCCCCGGAAGACGACCCCTCTGCTGCGGCATCCTGCAGTGCTTGCCCCGCCTCTGGAGCCCAAACCTGCCCCGCGTCCAACCTATGTGTACCTCCCTTCCCCCAAGCCTCAATTAGGTGTTGTATGGATTGTAACAAAGCAAGTGAAGCTGCAGTAGAGTCTGACTCACCAACCAAGCCCTCCACAGATGGCAGCATTGGGGTTGCTCCTTGATGTCCCACTGGACCAGAATGCTCTGCCACATCTCTCCTCACGCCAAGCGGGGAATCCACCCAATGCCGGGAATATCTAGAATGTGATCCACTGCCAGACCAGTTGTACTGTTCCGTGCTATCCCTTTGCTTGTGTCCCGTCACCGGTGGTGGCTCCGCCGGCTGTCATGAGTCCCAGAGGCCCCGCTGGCCTTACCCCTGGGACTCCTGCTCCATTTCTGGGCTGATTTGCTTTTAGATCCAAACCCTGAAGCCACTGAGCGCTCCCCAGAGGAACCGCTGGCAACTGATACCGCCCCAGCCAAGGAACCAACACCCCTCGGGCTCCAACGTGACCTGCTCAATGCCAGCAGCCAGACTCGATGTGCGTGCCTCTTAATGGCAACGGGGATCTGCTACTCCGTGACCTGCCTGGCAAAGTGTGCAACCCTTTGAGAGTCCTACGCCCGCTGCCCCGGGACCCCTGACCAAAGTGGTCCTACTGACCCACCTGCTGCCCACTAGCCCCTGCCAAGGTGACAGTGGCCCGACCACCCCCGGAGACACCTGCAAGCCCCCGGTAGCCACCCCGCTGCCTGCAAGGGCCACTGTCCCAGGAGCCCCTGTCTGACCCCAGCGTGCCTCAACCCCCACACGGGAAGGCACAACTGCGCCCCCAAGACCCTGTGGAACTAAGGGACCCTGGATAAGCAAAGGAGGGGGACTGATGTCAACCCCAGTGGCACCTCCACTCCCAAGGGGCCCACTGCTACCCCATGTGCACCAGGCCAGGGAGGGGACAGACCCCTGGCAGGCCTGCTACGCACCCCAGCAGCACCCCCAAAGCCAGAGGGGCTTGTTGCCACTGGCTGTGAGCTTCCACTTGCCTGCACACTGCCGGGCAGACCAAGGGCCAGGTCCTGCGCTGCACCTGCTCCTGTCACTGCCCAATTGTCCATCCAACCACCATGGGGCACCCGGTCACCATGGTTTCCCGCATCTGGCAAACCTCCTCGGCCGACCCCGCCGACTGCGGGGCCTGCATTCCAAGTGCGGGTCCCCCCGGTCCTGGAGCCACGCTGACTGGCAGTGATGGGCCTGCCAGTCCACCTAAGCTCCGCCCCTGCCGGGCATGCGTAGGTGCTGGTGGGGCCTGCTCCACGCCTCCAGTGCTGGTCCCAGTACTCACATGGCCAGATGCGGCCATTCCCCTACCCAGTCCCGGCACCATCCACATCCGCAGGACCCGTGCTCAAGCATTGCGGCAGCCTCCGTTGCCACGCCAGCCCCCGTGGCCATTATGACCCCCTGCTCACGCAGCCAGGCTGCCTCATGGATCACGGCCATCAGCTCCTCCAGAGGCCGCTCAGCCATCCTGAAAAAAAGTCAAATTAGTAGTGGGGATTTCTAAAATGGCCGACCTTTATATCAGTCCAACCCCTAAACCCTACTCACCAATCACCATCTGGCTACTCCTAATCCCGCCTCCAAGCCCTGTCCAGGCCCCCTTTGCTAAGCGGCGCTTTTCTCCTTAGGGCTACATTCTGCTGCTTCTTGTCTCAATGTATGACCTCTTCTCTGTTTTATATTCCTGCTGACAAACAGGTTAGCATACAGTGGTTTGTACAGATCCTGTATGTATTTTTATAGTGCTATCATATGCACTCAGACATCTTTTTAATATTTTTATTTTTTTAAGTAAATAATTGCAGTTTTTCAAGCTTTTCTTAATAACTAATGTTTTCCTTTCCCTTTTTAAAAGTCTTGCTTCTTCATTTTTCTAGTTCTGCAATATCCTTTAAAACTGGTGCCCTAAGTTGCTCCACGTATTCAAGGTGGGGTCTTTCCACTGATATTCCTTTTAAAACATGGCAAAACCTTGCAAGCATTTGCAATGGCAGACCAACATTGTGCACAATTGCCTAGTTTGTGATCTATAATTTAAATGGCAAAACAAAATATAATTGTTCTCAAGTCCTTTTTTTATTTAATCTTATCCATAACTCAACCCCATTTAATAGAAGCACGTGGGTTCCTTATCTCAAAATTCATTTATTTCTATTGAATCTCATCTGCTACTTTGCTGCCACTAATATCGTGTTTTTACTTATATCACCTTTCATGAAAATTTCTTGTTTACAATTACTCTGTTATCTATTATTACGCCAATGTTATATGCAAGAAAAAAATATCTAAACCAACAGACTTCAGTTTTAATAGTAACCTTTTGTGTGGAAATGTATCAAATGCCTTAGCAAAAAAAGTAGATCACATCCGCTGCAACACCCTAATCAATATTTCTACTTCTTCATAGAACACAATCCAGTTAGTTTGGCACAACCTGTTTTTCATATCATGATTACCTCTAATCATTGTTGTTAAAAATTAATTTATTGCCTATTATCGCTTAATAGCTCTTCAAATAATTTCCCAACAACAGATGGTAAACTCACAGGTCTGTGGTTTCAGGTTTAGATTTTGACATTCTTTATTTTAGTTGTACTTTGCAGAATAAACAAGACTTTGATATGTCATGTCTCAAAAGGCATAGACAACCATAATAGATATGAACTTATCATGAGATGTCAAATATGCAACACTTCTTGTATTAAATGAGAAACACATCTGAAACACAGTTCTATGGAAACAAAGCCAAGAGAAGTAAAGATACATACTAAAGCATAGAACTGTAGATAAATCACAAGGCATATATAAACCACTGGGTCGAAATATTAAACTAAGGCAGCTACTCAATGAGGGTAGAATATCAGGAAGGAACATACTCAATACAATTGGTGAGTAGTGGCTCATTTCGGTCATGTATGTACGTAGCGGGGAATGTGGTGCGACTAAGAGTAAGGAGACTACCCCAATTCTCCCCCCAATAATGACAAACAACGAATATTGGATGAAACAGGCCACAGCATTTATTAAACTTACAACTGTAGGACTCATCCAAACTTTATTCTTTTTCTTTAATTCAAATATAAATAAACAGATAAATATATATACATACCATAATTAACATATAAATTACACTTATTGCCCTACACCCTCCAACTTAAATAACCGTCCTTGCCAACGAACTTAACCAGGTGCCTATGCACCAAAACTTTACCCACTGGTGTCTCGCCTCCCCCCTCGTCCAAACCAAAAATTCCCATCATCTTAAATGCTCTACCACCAGCCGGCTTTTTGCTCGGTGGGCACGTCCTATTCGGTATTCGGTGGCAAGTAGCTTAATAGTCTGTGAGCTGTCTGGGCAAATCCCCAAATGGAACCGAACTCTAGTTATTTTGCTTAATAAATTCAGGCCAGGAGGAGCTGTTGTACATTGCATCCGGCCCTCTTGGCGCCAAGCCTTGCCCCTCCAAGTTCATATTTTGAACTTTTTAAATATAGGCACCACATATGCTTTTCTTCAATTCTCTAGTATGAATCTTGAAGGAAAAGAATAATGAAATATTAGAAACCGTGGTATGAATGTTTCTGTACTAAGCTCCATAAGCACTCATGGGTGAAAAACATCTGGCCCTTGGACTCTGTTTAAATGAACGTTATTTAATTGCTATAGCACTTTATCCTGTATTAACCAACCTCCTGTTTGTTAGAAGGCTTCTGTAATAGGGATTATCAACTCTACAGCAATAGATCTTTGCTATATACTGAATACAAACAACTAATTCTGTCATTCTTAACATTTTTGGCTTTCATGTACTTAAAATAAATTGGGGTTAAGCCTTGCTCTTTCTGGCTATAAACGTTCAACTTTCTGGTTCAGACCCTCTAATTACCCTTTTGCAAAAACCTGTTGGTATATCCTCTCTGCTTTTGTCAGTGAATTGTTCTTGTCAGTCAATTAGTTGTGAAGGTGCCCTTATTCTTATCCATTACTATGACTGCTTGAGGGTTTGCAGCATATTCTTACTAATAATGAATGTCCAATAATTCTTAAATTGGTTGACCGCTTAAATTGGTTGATCCTTTTCATCTTTATGAAGAACACTTGTGCATTGTCTCCCACCTCCTTCATAGAAACCTTAGTTCTCTTGTTCTTATCCACTGGTTTTGGACCTAAAATTTAGTCCCATACTTTTGAGTTGGGACAGACACCCAGGTTCTGAGCAACGAACTACAATAAATTGGTTTGTGTAACTGCACTATGAAACATGGCACAATAAGCAGACAATCCCAAACCTGTGATCATGCTAACGGTTTTAGTCGTGTTATGTTTGCTCTCCTCCTCCGATCCGCCCCGTCGGCTGAATGCGCACGCGCGGCAAGAGCTGCGCGCGCATTCAGCCGGTCGCATAGGAAAGCATCTATAATGCTTTCCTATGGACGCTTGCGTGCTCTCACTGTGATTTTCACAGTGAAAAGCACGCAAGCGCCTCTAGCGGCTGTCAATGAGACAGCTGCTAGAGGCTTTGGGGGAAGGCTTAACCCATTGATAAACATAGCAGTTTCTCTGAAATTGCTATGTTTATAAAACAATGGGTTAACCCTAGAAGGACCTGGCACCAAGACCACTTCATTAAGCTGAAGTGGTCTGGGTGGCTAGAGTGGTCCTTTAAGAGTGTAGTGTGTGTGTGTATGTATATATATATATAATATATATATATATATATATATATATATATATATTTGGAAGTATTGTGTATGTGTGTGGTGCAGTGTGTTGGGGGGGTTCTGTGTGTATGTGAGGGGTGCAGTATGTGTGTGTGTGAGGGTGCGGTGTGTGTGTGAGGGGTGCGGTGTGTGTGATGTGTGTGAGAGTGCTGTGTGCTGTGCGTGAGTGATGGGTGTGAGAGTGCCGTGTGTGAGTGATGGGTGTGAGAGTGCTGTGTGAGATGGGTGTGAGAGAGTGCTGTGTGAGAGTGCCGTGTGAGTGATGGGTGTGAGAGTGCTGTGTGAGAGAGTGCTGTGTGTGTGTGAGAGTGCTCTGTGAGAGAGTGCTGTGAGTGTGATGGGTGAGAGAGTGCTGTGTGTGTGATGGGTGTGAGAGAGTGCTGTGTGTGATGGGTGTGAGAGTGCTGTGTGAGAGAGTGCTGTATAAATGTTATTGTGTGTGTGTGTAGGGGGGGGTAAATAAAAAAAATAAAAAATCAGTCATTATTTCCCCCCCCTCCCTTCTTACCTTTAGCCTGGGAGGGGGTGGGACCGGCACGCTGGGACTGGGAGGCGGGGAGGCAGTGTTCCCTGGTGGTCCTCGTGGGTGAGTGAACTCTAGCCTGTGAGGCTAGAGTTCACTCTCGCGAGATCCGGTCGTTGCCATGGCAACGCGCCGGATCTCGCGAGAGGAACCCGGCGGAGCTGCAAGTTAGAGCTCCGCCGGGTCCTCTCTCCAGCCTGGCTGGCTGGCTCCCTCCCTCCCCGCCGGCGGCCGCTTGTGGGCCGGTCAGGGAGATCCTTGATCTCCCCACCGGCCCGTCATGGCAAACAGCGGGTCCGGCGCTAGGAGAGTGCCGGCCCTGCATAGACTGGCAGGGGAGATCCTGGGACCTCCCCGGCCGGCCTCGGCCCCACTGCCACCGCGGCCCACCGGGCATTTGCCCGGTGTGCCCGATGGCCAGTCCGGGCCTGCACACAATGACAAACATTGCCACACACATTTTATAGTATATACACACACACTTGGACAGTATGCACACACATGGACAAAGTATACACACAATGATACATTGCTAAGCACACACTCAGATACAGTCACTGGCGTACATATAGCGGTAGCAGGGGTCGCAGCTGCTACCGGGCCTGGCCGCCCTGCAGATCCTGTAACTGGGTGCCTGCCATCATCATTTGCGGCCCCGATGGAGATGGATTTTCAGGGGGCCCGGTCAGTGCTGCAGCACTTTAACAGCGCGACTGGGCCCCCTGTGATGAGAGCATCACACGCTGGGAGGAAGTGACTAAACGTCACTCCTCCCAGCTATCACTGGGAGCCCGCGCGGGAGGAAGCAGAGGGATTCAGAGTGGGAACTCTGACTCCCATCAACCTGAGCCACTGCTGGACCCCAGGGAAAGTCACCCTCATGCACTTAAAAGGTAGGAAACAGGAGGGTGACTTAAAATATTGTGTGTGTGTATGTGTGTGTGTTTGTTTGTATGTATCTGTGTCTGTCTGTCTGTATGCCTGTCTGTTTGTATGTATGTGTCTTTGTATGTTTGCCATGTGTGTCTGTATGTGTGTGTCTGTCTGTATCTATGAATGCCTGTCTGTTTCTATGTATGTGTCGTGTGTATGTGTCTGTATCTGTGTGTGTGTGTGTCTGTCGGGGGGGGGGAGGGGGGAAGAGGGAGGGAGGGAGAGCCCCATGGATCAGTTTCGCACTGGTGCTCCATGGGTTGTGTGTACGCCACAGGATACAGTATAG